TAGTGGCCCTATACTTTAGTTAATGATTAATCAATTACTAAATTAGTTGATGATTATCTAAATAATTGATTAATATGATTAATTGTTTCAGCCATAGATAAAATACATGAAATGGGCGACACAGAGTAACTACAGCCCAGATGTACAACTTGTAGAGTAAAGTTAATATTTTAAATGCTCAGTGTCAGTTCCTCTTATAGTTCCAGTGCACACGGAAATATAATACATTTATTTGCCGTCCCTTTAATGTATTTTTTTGCGTGATACAGAGAGAGCATATTAGATAAAAAAATAAGAGTGGGGTATACCTCTGCACAATTCTATATCTTCAAAAGAAAATACAGGATAAATCCAAATATAACAGACATATTCAGACTGTATTTGGTTAAATAGGCAAGTATTTACCTACTGTCTTAGTCACTGGTAAGTTTAAATGGAAACCTTTTCAAAGTTGAAATAAAGTCTTAATTCCACATTCATCAGAGCCAGTGATGCTTTAAACATTGATAAAAAGCATTTACTGTGTATAGTGCTTATAAAATTTGTATTAATGTAGCAAGAAATGCTGCTGTTCTCTTTAAACAAAATGTGCCCTGATGCTCATATTAAGCATAAAAAAAGAGCATGTATATTTTTGCAAAGGACCAATGACATCAGAATAATGAAACTGAAGACAAATACGATCCCTATATAAGTTAAAATCAAGCCTATGCCCTTGGTTAAAATGGAGCATTGTTAAAATTGAGACAGTCATAAAATAAGTAGTTGATATCTGTAATTATATTTGTACTAGCAGAGACATATTTTAGATGTCAAGAATTGAATTTCTGGAAATCTGTAATGTCATATTCATTTTTGATATTTATGACTAGCAGTAACTCTATTACTGAGATGTGAAATTAGAATTCATCCTATTCAGAATTCATTTTAGATAGGAACAATTTTATTTTAGATATCTGGAATTAAAGGCCCATAACTGCTTTTTTTTATCCATTTTTTTCCCAACGTGCGGACGTTGGAGAGCAGGATTGATGGAAGCGGTGGTCTGTGGGGGTCTCTCTTTAGCTGGCCACCCTTATAAAAATTTTCTAGCTACGCCTCTGCTTGTTTACATCTGTCTGTAGCACTCTGCAGCTTTTTAAACGGTCAAAAAAGTCAGTATTTAAAACATTTTGTGGCCATAGCTCCAGCAGGTGTTGGCGATCATAGCTTTGTATCATTTTAAGCGGCATAAAATGTTAAATTGTCGAGAGGAGCTGCTCTCCTCGTACTCCTAGTCAGAATTGTATTTTAGATATCACTAATTACATTTCTACAGGGAGTTACTTTTAGATATCCGAAATGACATTACTCCAATCTGAAATAAAGATTCTGGATGTCTAAAAATGAATTTCAGATCACTGTAATCCAATTGTTACTGTTCATAATTTTTATTTCAGATATCAAGAAGGAAGAAAACACTGCAGATATCTAAAATATAATTTCTGACATCTAAAATATATTTCTACTAGTAGAAATATA